TTAGATGGCACTGATTAGTTCCATTCGTTTCCAATATGGCCAATTGTTTGGAAAGTGTATTATAGGTTGTTAATCGTCATCTATTTTAAGCAATGATCATCGGAGTGTGAGAACACAGTCATTAGAATTTTTTTTTTTTTTTGACAAGGTATGGAAGGTTGATCAATATTAATTTACACATCAGCTTCTCCAGAAAATTCTGTCACTGCTCCACTCAGTGAGTGTGACGCAATTTTCCACACACCTTAAAGGCAAAAGTCGTAATATTTAGAGCAAAACATATTTCAAATATCTTTCACAGCCCAAACTTTTAATCAACTGCTGAATTTATGAAGTCCAAAGGGCTTCTTTTTATCAGCAAGTCGCTCTTTGTATTGCCTGGGCCGCTCTAATCTGATGCTGAACTTCCCTTTTATTGTGGATGTGATTCATTCCGCATTACCTGTCTTTGTTTTATGGGTCTAGCTGGAGCTCTTTCAAAGAGCGAATGGCGTGGGCGCACCACGCACGCACCTGTCAGCTCATTTTAGCGCGCGCCGCCGCGCTCCCCAGCTCAGCTGAGAGCTGCTGTGTTTATCGTTAGCTTATAATCGTCAGTCCGACAGGCCGTCCCTGTGGAGCTGTTGTCAGACCACCGGGGGCCGTATGTGACGCATACAGCCCACGCACCAAAGGCCCTCTTCAGACAAACCCAGTTAATCTAGCCGTACCTGCACCAGGAGGTGGAAGTCGGTGCTTCACTGCATGAGTGAACTGATTTTTAGAGTCATTTCCACCACCTTATATGGCAGGTGAAAACATCTCTCTCCGTCTTGCTGTCAGTCCCCGACTCTCATTCTGTCCTTCCCTCCATTCACCTTGAAATCTGAAAGCACCTCCTCCTCCCTCTGTCTGGAAGATTCCCATTTCAATATCCGAAACCCTTTTAGTCCGACGTTACGAGTGCTAGTTGCCCATTAACGCTCACTCCCAGAAGGACACCAAAATCGACCATCTTTTCCTTCTGTTTAATCGTTCCTGACAATTTACTGTAATGGGAACTTTTTTAATTAATGCATATACTTCTGAACAGTAGCGGTTTTAGACACGGGCGAACCGGGCAGCCGCCCGGGGCGGCATTTTTTCATAATACATGGGGGGCGGGTCGAAGGGGGTCTCGCCCAGGGTGTAATTCAATGTAGAACCGCCACTGCTTCTGAACTCACAATAAAGGCATGTATTTTGAGTTTTGCGTCGCAGGGACGTGAAGTGGGTCTGAAATCAAAGACATTTAAAGGGATAGTTCACCCAAAAATGAAAATTCTCTTGTCATTTACTCACCCTCCACTTGTTCCAAACCTGCATGAGTTTCTTTCATCTTTTGAACAAGAATATATTTTAAAGAATGTTGGTAATTCCATATTATGAAAGTCAATGGCTACCATCAACTTGGTTACCAACATTCTTCAAAATATCTTCTTTTGTTCTCAACAGAAGAAACTCTTACAGCTCTCACACACCTTAACAGAGAGACTGTCCAAGAGAACAATTTAAATACACTGTAAACTTTTCTTCCAGGCTACCAATACATTTACTCCTTCCCTGATGTTTAAAAAAGGATCCTTCAAAGTTCAGCTCATTAGCCCAGGGCTTTCAGACAGTTTGCAAGCTTTCACTAATGTGTCCCTCATTTCACCCTCAGCTCCACACGGATTTCCAAGTACCCAAGCCAGCTGGAATACTGGCGGAATGTTGTGTTTACCCCAAAACCGCACCCTAGGGTCTGTCTAACTCCCTCTCATCACACCCTCACAACTGTAAACCTCTGGCAAAAAGCGAGCATTCATCATTTTAATGAGGACATTTAGCTGTTGCTATTAAGGGACAGATCATTAGAATGCCAAAGAATTCCCTTTCCAAGTGCCTGTGTTCCACTCAGGTGAATATAACTCAGATGACAAAGTGCAACAGTCATGTCTAGAAGAAAAAAATCCTTTTATGTATCCATAGAAAACTTGATTTAGAGTAACAAATAAACCACATTATGAGCTCTAAGAAATTTGAGATCAGATAAACCTATTTTAAAAGATTAGTTCACCCAAACAAAAATTTGCTGAAATTTTACTCAGGCCATCCAAGATGTAGATGAGTTTGTTTCTTCATGTGAACGGATTTGAAGAAATGTAGCATTAAATCTCTTGCTTACCAATGGATCGTCTGCAGTGAATGGGTGCCGTCAGAATGAGAGTTCAAACAGCTGATAAAAGCATCACAATAATCCACAAGTAATCCACATGACTCCAGTCCATCAATTAACGTCTTGTGAAGTGAAAAGCTGCACGTTTGTCAGAAACAACTTCATCATTAAGACCTTTTTTAACTTGCTTCCAGCTAAAATATAAGTCCTTTATCCATAATATTGCTTTTTCCTGTAAAAAAGGTGTCTTGTCTGAATCAGGAGAGAAACATGCACATATCAAGCACTGTTTGCAAGCAAAGACAGTCCAAAACAGAACTATTTCTTTGAAAAATATGATGGAAAATATTATGAATTCGAAACAACAATGCAAGCAAACACATTAAAGATGTCAACCATAGGAAAAAAACAAAAACAAAACAACTACATCCAATTAATGCTCCAGCATTCGTTCAATTCATATGACTATGACTAAACTTACAAGACAAATGACATCTTCCTTTATTTTGGTGCCCTTTTCTCAGTGGAGCCAACAGAGGCCATGATGTTTGGAGAGGTAGGAACAGTCCTAATGAGAAGGGAAGCAATTATACAGCAGTTTCTCAGTGCTGGAGAGGTAGCAGCCGCAGGCCTGTCACACTTCGCCGTCATGCAGAAAATTGGCCATGCTCAAGCTGCGAACAATTTGACCATATCAGGTCCGGTATTCCTCAACTAGACCACCAGCTTTATGGCCAAACAAGTGGATACATTTGAGTTGTAATTCTCAGGCTCTGCTCTGGGATATAGACAAGCCACTGGCTCTCAAAACCAAAAGTTTGTGTTTAAGTTAAACCATAAATAATGAATTTAGATTTATATGTTAATGTTTAAATAATAATACATATGTAGAAGAATGGCATATTAACTTTCTGAGTCTGGAAGACTAAAACATTTTAATTCTCCTTATGCTGAAGCTCTCAGATGATGGGAAGTTGTGATGTAAAGTAGTTCTGGACAGCAGTTCTCTATCATAAATGCATGAGCGAACACGACATTGACATTCTGCAGACAGGTCAGAGGAGTCGGATTTCCTCACATCGGCAACCAAGAAAGTGCAGGACTGAAAACCCTCACACAAGTCAGCAACAGAAAATGTTTACAGCGGAAATTGGAAATTCTCAGTGCTGTTTCTACCCTGGTTGCAATGGGCATCCGAGTGGGATCAGAGATAACATGTGCATGGCTGAGGTAGGGATCTGAGTAGATGTCAGGCTCTGTATTGCTTGCCTCTGCATTTGTTAAAAAGAACACGGACAACTTCTGCTTGTTGGTTTTATGTGTTAATGTAGGAATAGTTACAAGACTATACACAAAAAAGTTGCACTTTAACTGTAGTGCAAAATACAACAACACAACTACATATGCGCTTCTATAGCTAAAACATAGCCATCTTCTTTTCCAGTAAAAAAAAAAAAATATATATCTATATATATATATTGAATAAATAAATAACATCCTTAAAACAAGAACTTACTTGAGAAGCAAAATTGCTTTGTGCATTATGTTGATTTGTTTTAGAAGAATATATTTTGAATTAACTTTATTTTTTTGACAAACTGTTCTTTATTATATTTAATAGTGTAAGAAAACTTAATTCAAGAAATATTCTCTTGAAAGGGTCTTCCTTATCGTTTGCTTATCAAGTAAATGTATCTCGTTTTAAGGATGTTTTTACTGGAACACAAGACAAAATACTGATGAACAAAATATTTTCGCAATGTAGCAAGGCAGGTTTTTCAAACAGTATTTACAAGGACAATGTTTACAATATTCATGTAGCATCCACTTCCAAAGGGGTCATTTGGCAGGATAGCATTTTTTTTGTCATAGATTTTAAATAATGAATATGTAATATTATGCATAATTTAAATAACATGAAAAAGTATGCATACTCGCACTATAGGCTAGAAAGAGTTCCCTTTTGTTAGGAAACTAGAAATATACATTGTATAATATGCAATCTCAAAGGTGCCATATTTCAATTGCATGTGATAAATTGGTGACTGATTTCACTATATAAAAATTAAATGCAATAAAAAATGTAAAAATAAATAAAAATTAATAATTAAAGGCAAGTAAAGCCAAAAAGAACCACAAACAAAATAACAACAAAATCTCATGTCAATGGCTATTAAAGGAATAATTCACCCAAAAATTTAAATTTGCAGAAAAATTTCTCACCCTCAGGCCGTCCAAAATGTAGAGTTTGTTTCTTCATTGGAACAGATTTGGAAAACTTTAGCTTTATATCACTTGCTCACCAATGGATCTTTTGCAGTGAATGGGTGCCGTCAGAATGAGAGTCCAAACAACTAATCAACCATCGCTTCTGGCCAAAATACGAGCCCATAATGACACTTCCTCCAGTGAAAAAACTTTATCCTCTATCGTCCTATCACAACAAAATCCACTGACATATGTTTAGAACTGTTTTTGCTTGTAAACAGTGCTTGATCTGTGTATATTTCTCTCTTGATTCAGACAAGATTACATTTTCACTGGAGAAAGCAATATTATGAATAGAGAACCGGAACGGTTTAAAGTTAAAAACGTCTTTATAATGGACTGGAGTCATGTGGATTACTCGTGGATTATTCTGATGCTTTTATCAGCTATTTGAACTCTCATTCTGACGGCACCCATTCATTTATTGGTGAGCAAGTGATGTAATGCTAAATTTCTCCAAATCTGTTCTGATGAAGAAAAACTCATCTACATCTTGGATGGCATGAGGAGGAGTACATTTTAAGCAAATTTTCATTTTTGCGTGAACTAATGCTTTAACTTGTTTTAGTAAATTTTTGATTTATCTTTATACTTTACAAATGTCAACAACCTCAGAGACCTGCTCGTATCTTTACCATTATGAAAAACAGCTCAGCTGCTGTGCTGGATATTAAATTATACATCTAACACAACATGACCTTCACAAACCCTCATCAGATCTGTGTCCACTCATTTAACACTCGCTCACCAGCACAAACGGTAATCACAAACCACTGATCGCAGCAAAGAGACGAGAGAAGCAATCAGGGAGAAATCGCTCATAATCATGCGATCACTCTGTATTCTATAAATCGAAAGGCACAAGGGATGCAGATTTTGACACCGTATCACTAGAAGCAGCAAGAGGAATGTGACACGGAACAGACATATTGTAATGCAAATGTCAATCACCCTGAAAATGGATTGTTTCACATGAAGGATTATTTTGCGCTAGTTTGACAGCTTCTGAAAGCCTGGATGTTTTGATTGGATGACTGCTGTTTGACCAAAGGCACATGAGATGATAGGAGAAACAAGCACTTGACAGTGCAGAGAAACTCAACAGGTGATACAGAACAGTGATGTGCATATGAGTTTCCAAGCATTGAAACAAACTGGAAAAATCAGACCAAAAAAAACACCTACATAAAGGATTTGTACACCAACAGTTCACCTAAAAATGAAATTTCTGTGATTATTTATTCACCTTCATGTCATTCCAAACCTGTAAAACTGTCTTTTGTGGAACATTAAAGGAGAAATTCATTCAGAATTGACCAGAAAGAAAGTATTTCAGGTTTGGATTAAGTAAATGATGGTGTTTTCATTTCATTGTTGGGTGAATGATTCATTTAATCTCTACAATCATCAAACATATTGAAACAGATGGCAGCATGGGGATATAAATTACCACTGTGTTCCAATATGACAAGGGAAATTTTGTAGCTTTAATGTGATGTTGACTGTTGATCAGACACAGTTTAACCTTCAAACAAAGTTTTCAATGTAGTTTTGCTGTGAAATTTGAATGAATAAATTAACATATATACACATCTGAATGCAGTTCAGCTAAATGTAGCATCCAGTGCCGCACAACAGCTTCCAAAATTTGTAAATAATAAAGTAAATCTACAGCACAGCATTTCAAGCAGGGCTTCGGGCGGCATCCACTACATCAAATCATTAACATTCACTGAAGTACGCACACTAAAGTCAACATAAATAACAGAAAAATACACAATCCCAGAGGGTTCCCAAATAAATCTCAAGATGATGATCTGTAAAGTACTCGATATGTTCCCTAATGCATCCTGACTCTCACAAAAGGGAAACATTTAGAAATTGACACGTAGAGTCCTTTTGTAACAGCCTGCAAAAATAACATCGAGAGCATCCATCTGTACACATAGAAAGAACAATGTTAAAAAAAAAAAAAAAAAAAAAGAAGTCTTCATTTTACAAAGTGCTTTGTGTTTTTCACAGTGTGTAATTTCAGCAGTCTGCCGTGTGATTTACAGCGCTCTGACACTAATGTTTCTTTCCAAAATATGGAAGATGGAACATCTAAAAATTGTGGCAGCTGAATGGGCTTGTCCAACATGCAAGAGTGTCACACTTTTCAGGCGTCCCATGAGCTCAAAGGTAAATGAAGTCTTGGAAAGTAAAAAGTGGAAACAATATTTGTGATATTTCACCACCCATAAAACTGCCACCAAATCTGGGTGAATCCAAATCTTCTGGGTGAATAAAGAGTGTCACAGCATTTGAATAAATCTCAAATGCACAGTTAAAGATCGGTGCGTAACCTGCCACCTCAGTTTAGAGCAGAAACATTCCTGCTCACTTGAGTAACTCACTGCAGAGGAGGTCACTTCCTGTGGAAGCCTGCATCCTTTCCTGTTGAAGCCAACATCACTGCAAGTGAGGATTAGCTTCATTCTGGCCTCCGCCCTCATGAGGTGGAGGGCCATATGGGCAGCGGATGGGCCTCGGTGTTGAACACGTACTTATCCAGACTGATCAGCTCGTTGTCATCAGAGAACAGGAGGAAGAGATACTTTAGCGTCTCACCCAGGAAGAAACTCTCCATCTTATCTCTGGGCGCAGGGTTCAAGGGGTCACGTACGTTACCTATGGAGGTGTAGCCCCCGCTGGGGACCTGGGACAGGAACCGAGTAAAGAAGTCAAGTTTGTGTTTATTGGGCATTGAAATGCTTCTGACTGAGACCAACAAGACAAATAATTGTCATTTTATGGCTGATTACCAAATAAATGGATGATATTAAAATTCTATATTATTTTGTAATAATTAATTAAAAAAAAAATAACAAAAATTTGTAATTATTCCCCCCCCCCCTAAAAACTAGAAAGAAGCATCTTAAAAGCTACAAGTGAATTTAGGCATCAAAACATTATAATATACAATATGACAAATATTATCATATTATATTTAACACTGGTATAAATTTATCAGTGTTTTACATATTAACTTTAAGTGAGCATTAGATGTAGCTGCACAAATAAATATCTAGTACTGTGCAATAGATTTCCAAAATCAACTGATACTGATACTATATATATGATGAAAAACTCAAACTTAAAAGAAAAATTAGCAATGTTACATTGGCAACTAGAATAAAATGAGTTGAACTAAAGCTGAAATAAAAGCAAATTAAATCTTAATAGAACTACATTAAAAAAACTAATAAAAATTACAAAAGCACATAAAATTCTTAAAATTTAAACTAAATTTTAAATGAAAACTGAAAATAAAAACATTAATTCAAAATATCAATAAATACTGTAATGGTATATAACACTAAAATAACAATTATAATAAGAAAAATAAATAAAAATACATTTAATATATATATAAAAATAAAAAGATAAATATATTCTCCTTTTAGTTTTTTTTCCCAAGTGTAAAACCATTGTTATATTTCTGTCTCCGTTTTTTTGAAAAATGTGCTATTTACAAAATATATATGCTATATGATATATGCTTGACTTCTTGTCATGTAGACCAAAATTACTTTGCATTTCTCACTCACTCTGGTGTACTTATTGAAACTTTGCAGTATGTCCCAACCCCAGTCTCTGTATTTACTGTCCTTGGTGAATCTGTACATGTAGAACAGACTCTCAACGGTCTCAGGTCTCAGCAAGTTGTGTCTGTCTGCAGGCTGCACACACAGATTGAGAGAGAAAAAAATATCTGTTCATGTAAAAGAGCACCAACTTTTTTTAAAAGTCATCCTCATCAGTGCTAAGCACAGAAATATTTTTGTTCTTCAGAACAGATACTAGAAAAGACAAACACAAAGGTCTTGATTGGACAGTCTGAACACAGTTTCTGCACTATTTGGAGGGCTTATTACCATTTTATTTTTACACAATGGAGAGAAAATGAAAGATGGATCCATTCCAAAACCTGTATCAGCAGTTTAAGGCCACGTCTCCAACCGCCCAGGTAGGGCTGGACAATAATTCAATATCAATATGTATCGCGATATAATTTTTTTCAATAACGGTGATATGATTTTTAAACACATTTCCGATATTTCGATATACATTACCAGTTTCCCATACATTGATTTATTTGTGCCGTTTGACTTCGTTGAATAACATGAGCACTGCACGTTTCAAAATCATAACACGGCGCGGGTGTTTTATATGACGCCCAGGGAGTTTATTGTCAGAAATAAGTGGTGATTGTACAGGTTAATGTACCTTCACATCGATGTCTCGTCCGTTGTTGGACTGCAGGTTAAAGTGAGCGATCTCTGGGCTCAGGCCCGTCTCCATCTGCGCATACATCTGATGACACGTCTCCATCAACTGCAGAGCCAGCTCCATGTGATCAGCGGGCAGGCCGTTGTGAGCACCGAGAGCCAGCGTGCCAGGAAGAAAACACACCAAATGATCCTGGATCAGACAGAGAAAGTGTTGTGATGGAGAAAGAGATTAACCCTGTAAAGCCTATTGTATCATATTTGATACGCAAAATAATAAGGCTGATAATTATCAACATGACCAAAACTTGAAAAACCTGATGTACACAATCTTTTACATGCCTTCTGTTGCCTGATTGATAGTTCATAGTTTTTTTTAGCACGTAAAAGGCCTTTTAGTATAATTCTAAAAATGTCCACCTTCATGTTGTGGTACATGTGTCTTTTTGCTGTGAGATCTTTAATGATTTTTATAAAGTAAATTTGTATTGTTAGTAATAATTCAAGATTAACCCTTACTGGACTGAAGCAACTTTGGTTTACTTCATTATCCATACATCATTTTTTTTTAGAAAAATCATGTAAAAATGTGAGTATCAAATATGATACATGAAGCTTTTTGAGGAATTTTTATTTGTATATCTGTTACACATCTATGTATTGCATTGCATTATATGCACAATTAAAACTAAAGAGCTTTGATGATAAAAATATGAATTAAATATAATCTTACTAAGACTTTTATTATTGGTAGATAGAGTGACAAATTATATTTTACTGTATGCATAGTATGCTACATACTATAAAGATCTTATTGTTTTACATTGCAAGTTATCAGAATTTTATTTTACTTTTTGACCATATAAATATTAGCAACTGCACCAAATTACATATTTGTGCTCAGTTTGGTTCTCTGAATAAAAATTGTGTTTTTTTTCCTCGAGTATGAGCTCCATATTTTCTTTATGTATGAAATATACTAATAAAAAACACACAATTTAACACACATTTTTTATTTTATTATTACCATTATTATTTTTTAGATTTTATCTAATAAACTCTTCTATTTAAAAAAAAAAAACGATTTTGCTTAAAGATTTGTAACAAGATTTAAGCCTGGAGATTATAGGAACAGATGCCGGTCGTATATAGACTCAACCATATAAGGAATAAATCAACCAAAAATGAAAATTCTGGCATTATGTATTTCACCCTCATGTTGTTCCAAATCTGTAATTTGTTACTGTTTCCAACATGAGAGTGAGCAAATAATAACAGAATTTTCATTTTTTTGGTGAACAATTCCTTTTAGAACGACAAGGTGGCAGAAATGAGGTGAAGTTATGACTCACCATTTTGGGATTGAGACGGCCATTGGACAGCTCCCCAACAAAGGTCAGTTTACTAGGAGACGTCTGTCTCAAGAGATTCTTTCTGACGCCTTCTATAGCCTGAAGATAGTCCTCCAGCAGCCTAGAAAGATATACATGCATCGTACTCAGCATTTGATTTGCAGAGATTAAGTTCGCCCTCTAGAGGCAAAATAAGCTATTGCATTTTAATTGTACGTTGAGAGCATCCCAGACTTCAGTTGATCCTCATACGTGTCTCTGTGATGTATAAAATCCAACATATAGAAAGCGAGGGGTGCAATTCAACCCCATCAAGGTCTTAGTGAGATTAGCCAGACAGGATACAGAGCTCATTTAAATGGACCACCTTCCCCGTCAATGACTAGTATATCCATCACTGACCTGGTCTTGAGTGGATCTGATATTCCAGACCAGAGATATTTATCAAACCTCATTAAAGGGGTCATATGATGCGATTTCAAGTTTTCCTTTCTCTTTGGAGTGTTACAAGCTGTTTGTGAATAGATAAGATCCCTAAAGTTGCAAAGACTAAAGCAGGGCTGTCCAAACTCAGTCCTGGAGGGCCGGTGTCCTGCAGAGTTTAGCTCCAACTTGCCTCAACACACCTGATTGGAAGTTTCTATGCCTAGTAAGAGCTTGATTAGCTGGTTCAGGTGTGTTTAATTAGGGTTGAAGCTAAACTCTGCACGACACCGGCCCTCCAGGACCGAGTTTGGACAGCCCTGGACTAAAGTCTCAAACCCAAAGAGATATTCTTAAATAAAAGTTAAGACTCGTCCACGCCCTCCTAAAACGCCTCGTTTTAAACACGCCCCCACATGTCTACATCACTGTGTGGGAAGATTTGCATAACGCCAAAATAATGTTATTTTTAGCAGCATCATATGACCCCTTTAAGAGTCAGTGTCTACTGAACCCCACTGAACACCTTTTTATTGAATTATTCAAAACCAAACCCTATGAAAAAAATAACATCAGCGAGAAGCAAGTGTATATGATGTCAACACAGCAGGACGAGACTCAGGTGTGAGCAGAAGCACTGACGTGAATGACAATGACTCGTCTAGCTCAACAGAACCTGAATCGCACCGGCAGAGAGAACAGGAAGACAGAATAACATCCTGTCAAATGCAGAAAATGGCTGATGTCGCATTTCGCCAGAAGCGAAGTCACCTTGGCATCGTCCCTAATGGTGGACATGTGCAAAACATGCCTGTGACAGTTGTCGTCATGATGCTGCGCAGTCTTACGGGGGCTTTTTCACCTGTTTACTGTCAGTTAGACAACAAAACTTAAGTTCAGCTGGTTATAAAAGTAATAACAATCCAAACAATTTGAGATGTCATTCATGTCTGGGATGAGTTATGTGGAGATACAACAAGCTGATAATTAATTATTTGATGACTGATAAATGGCCGATATTACAATTCAATACTGTTTTGACTAAATAAATAAAACACTAAAACATAAAATCAATCATTTTAAATGTGACAAGTGAATTTAGGCATATTAATATTATAATGAAGAGTATAAAAATAGTGCATAAATGGTATAAAAGTAGAATGTTATAAAAAATGGATATTCATTTTTTTAAATTTCATAAAAAAATAAAATCAATTGTTATTAAATTATTTGCAAGCATATATATATATATATATATACACATACACTGTGCATCCCTACTTAATACTATACTAACCATGAGTAATAGTGATGCAGGAAATTCAGTTAAAATTTATTGCATTAGTATACAGATTTTTTTATATATTAAAATATGTTGAGCAACATTGGATCAAACAATAGTGTGAGTTTGGCATGGGTCTGTTTGACTGTCCAATGGCTGACAGTTCAGAAAGCCTGTTTGAAAACGGGCATTATTTTTTGTGACTGTTTGGTGTTTCTAATGTGCACAAATGACACACTTCACCTTTCTTCTAATTCTCAAGAGGTTTTTAAGTGCTAGAGAGCAGACGGTGACATTCAAACAGAACCATCTGCACTTGAAATACAAAATATAATTTTAGACCTCTTAAAACGAATTCCACCAAGAAACAACTAAGACATCAGAATAAAATATCTAATAGTGAAAGCACTGAAGTGACCTCCAGTTTTTCAAGATTAATACAAATGCCCTGTACCATGTCTATGGGTTTCAAAAAGCAGTCCTTATGTAACTATTAAAACATGCTCAGTCTTTTTTTTCCTTTCCCAGTGCAATTCACCCTGTCACTGACTGACAATGTGAATAGGGTTGGGTATCGTTTGGGTTTTTTTCGATACCGGTGCCAAATCGATACTTATTAAAAAAATAATAAATAAAAATTCCCCCCAAAAATGATGGATTGGCCATTAGCACTATACACACATGATGTCTGTTTCATTCATACTGGACGCCAGAGGGCGCCCTCGCACAGAAAACCCACATATCCAGTCATAGAAGTAGAGAACTCATGACCCTCCAGGAAATCCCTTATATGGACAAAGGCATAGCTATTATATCTGTAACTGAGTAAACAGAACATATAAACGTTTTGAATGATAAAACAAAGACAATAAACACTCGACTGCGACAGTATAGTTTATCTGTGTGATTTAAGCCATCTCTGGTATTTTTATAATAATTAAGTATATTTATAATAGGGTGACCATATTTTAGTTTTCGAAAAAAAGGACAGTAGGGGGCAGTTTTTTTGTTTGTTTGCTTCTTTTGTTTTTATAATAAATAAAAAGAAAACAAGTAAAAAGAATAGAAAAAGAATAGGGAATGCTAGTGTTAGAGGGTCATTTTTAAAGGGGTCATATGATGCGATTTCAAGTTTTCCTTTCTCTTTGGAGTGTTACAAGCTCTTGGTGTACAAAGAAGATCTGTAAAGTTGCAAAGACTAAAGTCTCAAATCCAAAGAGATATTCAAATAAATATATATATATATATATATAAATAAAATAAAGTAATAAAATTAAATAGGCAACGCTTTTAAATATTTTGAAATGTGAAAATTTATAAAATTAAATACATTAAAATTTAAATAAAAAAATAAAACAGTGAAATAATATTAATACAATAATAAAAATAAAGAACCTGGTACTGCGGGTCCTTTGTGAGTCGGCTGAGCTCTCGGAACTCCAGCTGAATGCTGGTCACCTCTGCGACTGTGCTGTCTGTGGTCCAGCGTGGAGGGTGAGCAGTTCCTTTACCAATGTTCACGTCAGAGTAGGGGATTTTAGATGGGGTTTTGAAGGCAGGCATTAATCTGGACCCAATGTCTTGCTGCAAGAAAAGAGACACAACATGTATTGAGGTCTGTGGTCTATTAAAATTGTTGCATCACATGACTTAGCTGTATGAGCCAAAAGCTGTAAACCTTTAAGGCTATACTTTGCATTTACTAGGACAAAAAAGAATAATAATGGAGATGATACTAAGATATTAAGTACTTACAGCTTTATCCAGGAAGAGAGTGTCTCCGGTCAGGTGGTATGTGCTCAAGAGACCCCCCAATATACGGATGGTACTCTCAAAAAGATTCACATCCACATTCTTGGAAAAGAACAATTCTGTCTCAACCCACTTCCTGGCCTCGGCAAACTCTGTTACAGAAAGAATTAGGGAGAGGGGAAAAGGCAAAAGAAGGGACATAAAGAAAAAAAAATTATTTTTCCATTATTATTTGAAGTCTTTATTGCTTAATATATACTCTGTGGACTTTTTCAAAACACACTCTCTAGTTTATTTACATTTATCTACTAACAATGTCCAACAAAGAATATGGAAATAAGGTTTTTTAGATTTTTTTTGTATGTAGCCATCAGATAATAAATGCTTTTTAGTCTGAAAGAGTGCAATGGTCATCCTAAAGTTTTCTTTGAAAGAATATGGAAAATTTCTAAAAAATTGCAGCTTGATGGGAAATGACACGCAATAAAATGTATTTTTATTTCAAAAATTGTAAGTAAAATTATTTACCTTGATTTTTCTTTATTTTCTTCACTTTTCACATCTCATATTTCATCTCAAGAATGCACTTCACTGACACTGTATTTTTTTATTTTATTTTATAATTTTCACACAGTAAATAACAAAATGGATTTTTATGGATGCATTTTCCTATTTTAAGATTGCAAGACAAAAGTAATAAAATTCATAAATAAAAGCCATCTGAAAAGTAGCAATAAAATAAAAAAAATAAAAAATAAAAAAAAAGTTTAAAACTGTCACTTTTAATAAAAATCTACTTCTGGGAATTAAAAGTGCCTGTGGCTGAAGAAACACCCTCATGTTGACAATTGGAAAGAAAACAAAGAATAGATTTGAAATTTGCACACAGTGGTCATGAAACAGACTGGCAGACAGAACTGCGATTATAAGGCTCACCGTCTTTCAGTCCCAAGATCCACATGGTGTCCAGTGCATCTATGAGAGTGAGGCCCAGGCCGAACCACTCTCCATGGGTCTTAGATATGGGCTTCAGTTCATCATGACCCCACGCAAAAGCCTTATAGCCCTTCCATGCGTGCCTGAAGGCCTCCCGCACCGCCTCCACACGATCCACGGCCTTCACTGTCAATGAGTACAACAAATAAGTCACAGAAAAATATTGAGAAGATGATCACATGTCTGTGACGGTTGATCTTAAGCACAAGCCAAACTTCGGCACGTAATCCTGCAAAGACAAATACCTCAAATTGTGGGATGAATTCTGATACCTGGTTTTAAGCTGGCAGAATCCTCGGCATCAGCCACGGTTCCTTCTTTTCCATGTGCAGTGGACTGAAGCTCCGTCCCCTGCTCCGCCTCGATCATCGCCCCACGCCAGCTAGGAATCCAAAAACTGGATCAGTTGTGACAACAGTTTATCTAAGATCCAACCCATCACCCGTAATAGCACCGTTTCCTCCCACACGCCTCACGAATATAACCGCAATTACACACGAGCAGGAGGTGGAGTCCCGCAACAGGACACAGCTGGAGAAAATGAAGGCTCATCACAACTCACTTCAAAACCACTGTGTTACCAGCACAACTGTTAATAAACTCTTCCCTGGGGCGCTAGCACTGCACCCAAGTGTTTATCTTCAGCTTCTGTTGTTTATTTCTCTGCTTTTTCTAAAAAGGAGAGTTCATCCTAAAATGAAAATTCTGTTATTATTTACTCACTCTCACATTTCTTTCTTCTGCGGAACAAAAAAAATGTGATTTTTTTTTATATGTTTAGCATGCTTTCTGTCACTGTAAGGAGCCCCAAGTGTGTGAGTGAGACTAATAGCAATAAGTGCCAATAAAAATCATAATTACTGTCTGAGCTTTAATACCTCTACTTATTCAAAAGGTTAAATACTAAGCCAACAACAAATAATTGTCAATGTCTAATCCTAGGCAAATCATCATTATCAAAACTCTCATATAAAAGTGGCCTCATTTCTTGAATGTAATCAGATCAAACCTAATGACTGTTTTTGCTTCTTTCCCTCCGTCTTCATCTCTCTTGACCGTGGCTGCTTCTTCATCTTTCACCTGCCAGTCTGACACATTCCCTCGCTTCTGTAGGGCTGGAGGACCACGCTTGCTAGGGGGCTTCCTCTGCAGATTCAAACCACCCAACATAAAAAGACAAGAGTAGGTGAAGAATCTAGTAGAATCTATCATTTTAATCTAGTATCTTATAAGTTAGGTGAATTGATGTGCTTAGATCAGCATGGTTATGGTTTACTTTATTAATATAATATTAAAATATATTAATATTAAAATAATATTTGTTTCTATTTTTTATTATGAATTTAGATTTAAATTATTTACTAAATATGCATTATTAATATGAAATTGTTAATGCTTTTATTTTGAATTTAGAAACAACTGAAATTTTTATTTATTAATATAATAATACTAATTTTAATCATATTTATTTATTGAAAAAAATATTTTGAATGAAGAAAATAATGCATTTTACAGCACAATTCTTGTTTAAGGTTTAAGCTGATCTTTTCAGCAGGAGCTGTAAAAACCTTTGCAAACGAGTAGAGAAATTATAAAGTAACCATACTATTTTACATATCCATAATATCTGAGAAGTCTTCCTACTAACCATAGCTGGAGGTTTGGGAAGTAATGGAATGCTTGGTCTTTGAATTTCCGGCATCACTTCTGGTGGGATGTCCTGGACCCCCGGGACAACTCCTGGTGGGAGATTTGGGACGAGGCCAGGAGGAATGGGCCTGAGACCTCTGTTATCCATTTCAACCCAGTCCTCCTTCAACGATCTATCAGAGAGTCCTGGAGAATAAACAGACAGAAATTCATCCCATGTGATTTATTAACAGCAAAAGGCATGATGTTTAATAAAACGTCTACCCCAGCAGCTAATATAAACGGGCAGAGGTTGTACCAATCATCCACCTTTTGTGCTTTCACCTTTCATATCCTGTGAAATGTCATTAAAGGGGCTGTATGAAGTACCTCTCCACTGCTCCGTCAGGCTGGGATAGGAAAGAATCCCGCAGATGAACAGGAAGGCCAGCAGGAAAAGAATCAGGCTGCGCTGAAGCCGAGAGAGCTGCTTCCATTTCTGCCAAAACAAACACAAACAATTCAAGGACAATTGGAGGAAAGTGCAGCAATTTTACATTTGATGGCTTGATGTGGCAATCACAATGACTGCCAAATATAGTGCTATAAAAATAAAGCAACATGGAAACAAAAGTCTGATTTTTCCCTCACTCAAAAGAAATTTTCTCTCAGTAGAAAATTGACTTTATAATTTAATCAACCTAATTAACTCAATCGACATGAATCTCAGATAAGATAATGGAAGACATTAAAGGGACAGCTCACTCAAAAAATTCATTAATTTCCTTAAACCTGCATCATTTTCTTTTTTCTGTGAAACAAAAATTAGATACACTACCTTTCAAACATTTGGGGTCAGCTGGACTTTTTAATGTTTTTGAAAGAAGTCCCTTATGCTCAAAGAATCAGACTGCGCTGAAGCCGAGAGAGCTGCTTCCATTTCTGCCAAAACAAACACAAACAATTCAAGGACAATTGGAGGAAAGTGCAGCAATTTTACATTTGATGGCTTGATGTGGCAATCACAATGACTGCCAAATATAGTGCTATAAAAATAAAGCAACATGGAAACAAAAGTCAGATTTTTCCCTCACTCAAAAGAAATTTTCTCTCAGTAGATCAACCTATCAACCTTAATCAACCTAATTAACTCAATCGACATGAAATGAATCTCAGATAATGGAAGACATTAAAGGGACAGCTCACTCAAAAAATTCATTAATTTCCTTAAACCTGCATCATTTTCTTTTTTCTGTGAAACAAAAATTAGATACACTACCTTTCAAACATTTGGGGTCAGTTGGACTTTTTAATCTTTTTGAAAGAAGTCTCTTATGCTCACCAAGGCTGCATTTATTTGATCAATAATACAGTAAAAACAGTAATATTTTGTAATGTAATTTATGATATCAAATCAGAATTTTCAGTTGACATTACTTCAGTTTTGAGTGTCACATGATTCTTCAGAAATCATTCTAACATGCTGATTTGATGCTAAAGTAACATTTCATATTATTACCAATGTTGTCCATAGCTTTGTGTGAGGAATAGACCGAGTTAAAATTTGTTAACAATTCGCGTTCTCGATTTTCTATTTTAGTTCAACTCACTGTGCTTTGTTTGCATTTTTTAGTGTTTGTATGTCTTTTTTTGAAGCTTAAATGCCATTGAACTGGTGTTGCATGAACAAGATCCTCCTTCTGGGTTCCCAAGAAAAAAAAATAATAACAGCATGTGGTTCAGATAGACATGACAGTGACTACATAATAGCATTACAGAGTTTTCATTTTTGAGTTGTCTGATCCTTTAAGCTACGTTTTTAAATTAAAAGGTTAGTTTTTTCAAGCAAAACAAGTGTGTTTCATCTAAGCAGGGAGTGCATGTCTGCTTTTTGGAGATAATTAAGTATAAACAAATTGGTAGATTAAATAAAAAAGGGGAAAAACAAGGGCTTTGACTCAACTCAAAAGAGCTTATAAATCACACATTAGCTGACATGGCTTTCCAGCAAGTTTTATACTACACAAGAATAATTTCTATTGAAAGAAAACTTTCAGAATACAACATAATCAATCAATCAATAAATCAATCGAATATGAAAATCTGATCTGATTCTGTGGGTCATGTTGGGTCAAATAACTTTTAAATTATCGTCCAACTTTATTCAGCCATTTTTAATTTTCTGAAACAACATTTACATTGACCTTGATATTTTTACATCTTTTGAACCTTGGCCTAAAATCATGGGTCAGCCATATTGGCTGTCAGCCATTTTGAATTTTGTCGTAAAATGTCATTTTGTAAAAAAAATAATCGGCAGCATGTCCTGAGGTAACGGAAAAGTTTGGGCCATACACAATACATTGATACCCTACACACACACACACACACACAGTATATGGTGCTGGACCAGTACTTGCTATATTTATTTTACATGGACAGATTTCTCATTTTACACAGCTATGCAGCAGATGTTTTGGCAATACAAATGTAATGTTTGGCATACCAATAAAGCACAGTAAAATGAAACAAAAAGAAAGAGAACAATGCATTCATTCCATATTAACTGCTTAACCCATCTGCTCAGGTAAGGGAGTAAGTGGCCTCCAAACGCATCCTCGTTTTACCTTTTTCTGGACAACTTGCTGCCCCTGGTGCTGGACCAGTACTTGCTATATTTATTTTACATGGACAGATTTCTCATTTTACACAGCTATGCAGCAGATGTTTTGGCAATACAAATGTAATGTTTGGCATACCAATAAAGCACAGTAAAATGAAACAAAAAGAAAGAGAACAATGCATTCATTCCATATTAACTGTTTAACCCATCTGCTCAGGTAAGGGAGCAAGTGGCCTCCAAACGCATCCTCGTTTTACCTTTCTCTGAACAACTTGCTGCTCCTGGTGGGTAGGAGGATCTATATGCATGAAGAGGAGGAGGTCACAACCAATGCATCCCATCCACTGTGCGTGTAGTAATAGTGTACACTCAGTGTGTAGGTGACAGCAGGAGTGGCTATCTCTATCTCTCCTCCATCACGCTGCTCTTCTACAAACCCCGTGTTCCTCCCACAAAACGCTCATTTAGGCTGATATGCGGTCTGTTCATAATATGTCAATCTGTAGAAAAATAAGCATGAACGCTGTTACTAGTCAAACAGCTGTGTGCTATGGCAAATGTTTATGTGACGGCTCCTTACAATATCACGTGATTCTCACGCTCACGCGTCATTCGTTCGGACTCCGCCCTCTTTTATTAACACGTTCATAACCTTATAAGTTATAACCGATTTTCACTTCAACAATGTCAGTAAACATGATCATACTAATGATAGCGTGGTTTGCCATCTTATTTTTTTTAAAATATATATATATTCTTATAATGCTTGATTATTAATGAAATTGCAAAAACGTCACCACAAATAAAACAGACCTACATTTGGAAATTGAGTGTCCCATGCAGAATTTTGTTAAATGGCAATAATATATTTAATGTTAAATAGCATAAATTAAGTATTTGAATACACTTAAATATAAGAATTGAATTGACTTAGTGTATAAATATAGAACTAAAATAAATAATAAATAAAATATATACATAAATGCACCCATCCATCCATCCATCCTGGATCCTATTTTAGTGTACGTACATATATTATATATTAATATTACAAATTAAGCATTTTACTATGCTTAAACATGAGTTGTACTCACGTACTGCAAATAGATAAATATATCAATACAGTATATAGCATAATAGTGTATATGTAAAATAAACAAATATACAGCTAGAGAATTCAGCTACAGTACATTTGAAAATACAAGAGGCTTGAAATGAATTATAAATAAATTGAAAAGAAAGAAACACTTTAGTGATCTCTGTTATCTGGGACTGATGACACTCCTCCCTCATGATGTTCAGGCAATAAAATATGATGATGTCCTTATAGACACTCAAAAGTCTGGCACCTTCCATTCCATTTCCAATGACCAGATCTGAACTTTTGAAATCTTTCATGGCAGGTTTAGGCATGCAGTGTACAGTAGATTTCCCACTTCGTCCCATTCCACACAGACTACAGGACACGAATGACTGCATTCAGAAAATAAATACAGGCAAAGGGTGGCACTTCTAGGGGCCACTGTGCAAAAGTAAATAGTACCTGCTCTTGGATACTTCTGAGATACTTTTGCTCATTAGCATGTTTTGCTGTTTGAACATGAAAAACACAACTCCACAAAGCAGTTTTTAAGAAATGTTCGTGTTTCACACAATGATACAAAATTGTCCAACACGACTGAAATGATACATTAATTAACTTTTTATAGCTGATGCTCAAACAGATGACCAGCATGTGATTTCGATGTCACCACAAATACATAGAAAACACAATATACAGTACAAAATGTTTTAGAACAAAAAGTTTTCCAAAACAAAGCACCTGTGCCTAAATTCAATGCGATTTAAAATGATAATGATGAACGACACTTGGATTTGGCTTTGTTTGATTAATCTCAACATATTAACCTATTTTACCTATATCATTTGTGCATTTTTTTTTTTGTATTTATGTCATATTTGTAAGTGCTCCCTGAAACCTACATACAGTAAATGTGAACTGAAGGACACTTGTCTCTATGACTTTATGCATGTGTACTGACTTTCAGTCTCATATCCATAATGCAGATCACTGCTTGCACATTTATTAACCAGCTTTGCTGCAGTTTGTATTATTCTTCTCTTTTTGAAACAACTGTTACTGCTGAATTGTATTATTATTATAATATTATTATTAATTGTATTATATTAGCACCCATAAATCATCTAATATACATATTTAGGTAACATGACCATTTCTGAAATCAAATCATGACATGAACAGAGAAAACAGAAAGGTAGCACAGACTTCCTGATATCCAAACCTCATGGGAAGGTTAGCTGTGTCCTCACTGGGACGCTTTGTTTCTATCAGTCTTACAATTCAAGTTAGACACTTAAACGAGAGGGGGAAAAGTGTCATTCATACACTCACCTAATAATGCATAATAACCAGTTAATCCATGATAACCGTTTGTACATGATTAAATAGTAAACAGCTGAAACTTAAACCATGCAACCACATAGTGGTCACGTCAGAACCCTGTCATTACACTTGATACGATCCAAGCTTCTTCTACAATGTTATTACAAGACCAGCTAGTGATTAAAAAACATTGCTAAAACAAATAAAATTATTATAAAAATAGTACATTAATTACAAAGCCAAAAGTCCCTGTAAACAAAAAAGGATATTGTCCATTTGTCTGGAAGCACAGGGATAGACAGGACACTGTCTAGTGTATTTCCTTACCACGAGCCGTAGATGCTGCATGTGTCTTCAGAGTGTCCTGTTTTCTTCTCTTTGGTGCTTGTATTGAAGGTTAAATGCACAGGATGTACCGTTATCATTCAGGGTGTCTCTAGCTGAAGCACAAAGGGCCGATGGTGAAGCCAAACTCGTGGCTGCTGTTGCCCGACATTCCTATATCACGTAAAGGAAGCAGGTCCATGTCTTCAAACTGAAACATGGACTCGCGCGGTCCGGGATCCACGTCCTTTGCAGACTGGTACAACAAATACAAACATAAATGGTTTTAAAATGATTGTTAAAGGTAAAGCACAATTGTTTGAAACACTGATAATGTTTTTGAGCAGTAAATTCAGCTTTGCCATCACAGGAATAAATGACATTTTAAAATAAATTCAAATAGAAAACAGCTATTTTTTAATTGTAATAATATTTCACAATATTACTGTTTTTACTGTATTTTTGATCAAATAAGTGGTGACCAAAACTTCTTTCAACTGACCCCAAGCTTTTGAACAGTAGTGTATATCAAAATAAATGTGCTCACCACAGCAGTGAATGAACCATATACAAACGATTCACCTTCAAAAATGTGATAAAAATTACAAATTTTTATTACTAGTGCTGTTAGAATCCACATACCACACAATCCTGCAGTTCTCCTAAATAGCTCTGCTTTATGGTGTCTGTGAGGAACTGGACCTGTCGCTGTGTCTGGCCCAGTCGGTGTCCAGGGTAACAGGAGTACGTCACTCTCTGTTCTGCTCTGTTGCTCTGGAGCCGTAGAAACCGCAGCTGAACCACACTGAGGGCTGGATACTCAAACTGACCAAAGACAGACAGATGGGTTTTGATGGCAATATTGAAGGACAGTTTACTGTGTGCAACATCAGGGCTTGAAACTGAACATAAAACAATGAAGAGCAAGACTTTTATAATAAGAACAACATTAATAGCAGCAATTAACCTGGACAATCAATTAAAGATGTTAAAGCATTAAAGGGACAGTTCAGCAAAATGTAAAAAATTCCATTATCATTTTGTTTGTTTGTTTGTTTTCCATACAACAAAAAATAGCTAGTATTTAGCTAGTAAATGGCTAGTAAATGGCGCTGTTGATGTCCAAAAAACACAAAAAAGAACCACAAAAGTAAACAATCAACTTCTAAAGTGTATACATCAGTTTATAAATCCAAATCCCATTTTTTTTGCTCACATGTGACTCAGATCTGTTTTTCTTATGACAGTGTGAATAGCACAAACCACATGTAATCTGATCTTTTCAATTCCGATTTGTGCCACTTCCATACGTTATACTAAATCCGATACAGGTTAGATGTTTTGCAATGCGGCCGCAGTGTGAACAGTCATATCGGAATTCATGTGACTTTTACATCACTCTAGATCAATATTCGTCACGATTCTGCGCTCATGGGAGTCACTTCAAAGATTTTACAAACCTAAAGCTATCAAGACAGTTGCGAAAGGTAGTCAGTGGAAGTACAGTGATGTGTCAGAACATAAGGGCTCGTATCATAAAAGTTTCAAAACTTTCAAACTCATATTGCCTGTGCATAATTTTGCTGGCTTCTGCGGCAGATCACACTATAAATAAATGCACAATCGCTTACTTGATGTCCTCTGTGTTTACTTTCGTATGACAGCGCGCTGCGCAAGTGTTGCCAAGTCCACAGTTTTCCCACAGAATTGGGCAACTTTTTCCACTGTTTCCACGGGTTGTTTTTCAACTCCATGGGTTAAAGCGACCCCACTAACGCGAAATATAACCCCCAGAACATGATTGGACTAGTTTTGATAAGCAATTGAGCAGATTTTGTTGTGAAAACCTGGCAACCCTGTTCGTATTGTTCTTTTTTACATGCAGGCCAGTCCAGAACCACGATCGGTTCACACTGGAAATCTGATATTGGCCACATTTAAAACAACAATGTTGAACAGCTATACAAAAAAAATCGGATTTGAGCAAAAATCGGAATTTAGGACTAAAGCTCGCAGTGTGAACGTAGCCAAAGTCTACAAATCCTGTGAATTTTCATTTTAGGTCAACTATCCCACAATCAAGAGATGGGCTATCTCTTGTCAATAGCATAAACTGTGATCCAATAGGAAGTAAAAATTTCCACAAACAAATAGTACTACTTACTTTAAAACCTCCCTCCAGTGAACTTAACCAGTAGAACTTGCTGTTATTCCCTGAGTCATTCAGCCAAGTGCTTATGGGAAGCTACAAAAATTGGAAGAGCAATAATAAGATTTTGATGTTTTTTGACATTAAAGAGACACAGTGGTGAGCAGAGGCGGACAGTAGTGAAGTATTTTTACTTTACTCAAGTAAATTAAAAAAGTATCTGTAGTTTATCAGAGTGTTTTTCTTTGGAAAACTTTACTTCACTACATTCCAAAGCATAATGTCCTACTTTTTACTGCAACACATTTCATAAATAAAAGTTGTTGTTTGTTTTACCTTTAATACTTAAGAACATTAAAAATGTAGTACGTTCTTGCACTCAAGTAAATCTTTGAATTAAAATCCTTGAGTAAGTAATATATTTCTAATGTAATTAAGTATTAAATGATATTTAATATGAAATGTAGTGCAGTAAAAAGTACAATATTATTCTTTGGAATGTTGTGAAGTAAAGTTTTCCAAAGAAAAACACTGTACTGATAAAGTACAGACACTTGAAAAGTACTTTTAAAGCAGAGTAAAAATACTTCACTACTGTCCACCTCTGAGGTATTAAGTAGAGCATTACGTGTGCATCTCTGGGGTGAAGGCAGGTCTCTGCTCTTGACTCTGAGAAGTTACAGTAGACCAAAAGAGCATCTAAAGGACTGCCTTGGTTTGGGTCAATGTAGTAGAATCCTGCAAAAGTTATTATTTAACAGATTATTTTATCCAAAACAACATACAGTTCAAATATATTTCATAGTGCACACACGCACGCACACACACACACACACACACACACACACACTTTAGTTATTTTAGTCAAGCAGCTGTATTAAAGGGATAGTTCACCTTCAGTTGCTGGCCCCAATTGACTGAAGGTGAACTATCTCTTTAACTATCCTTTGGAAATGCAAAAAATAAAAAAATAAATAATAAAAAAAAATCTCATTTACACCTTAGTGCTGTTCACCTTAGATTTTATTGCCTGAGACAGATCTTAATACCAGGTTTAAATGGGGTCAATGTAACTAAGTGTATGTGTTTCAAAAGCTTTTAAAACTCCATAAGCACAATCACCTTTTTAGAGAAAAAAATACAACCATAATGCAAAGATTTCTCAATGATAGCACAAAGGGAAACAAAAACAAACAGATAAATGACTTTGAAAAAATAGAAAAGTTGAAAGATAGGACTCTGACCGCTGGTGTAGTTGGGATGGCACAGCCACAGCTCCAGACAGGTAGATGCTGGGTGCTGCTTGCTGCCATCCGGAGGGTCCACCAGCAGCCGGAGGTCATGGTACAGAGTGTCCAACAGTGTCTGAATCAGAGGGTAATTGGGCTTGTCTGAACTGTACATCAGGTCCTATTGGAGAATAAAAAGTAGTACAAATTGATTTGCTTTTTTGTGATCTACATTTTAGTGAGGGTCCAAGAATAAGAAAGTTAGATTTGGTGATGCTCTGCCACTGCAGTTTGCTGAATAGCACATATTTTAGTTCTGCCATGATATCAATGCACAAAATGTTGACTCTCTTCATTCAAATTTATTCAGTATGACCATAATCATGGGATGTTTGGTATTTAATGATCAGCACAGCAAATCAGAGTAAAAGGGCCACTAAAAAAAAAAAAAAAAACACTTGCCTTGATCTGGGTCAGGGTCAGGTTCACAGAAACGCCAGCAGGCCCTGGTGGCCCCGGCGGACCCTAAAATAAGAAATTAAATTAATAAATAAAGAAATTAGTTGTCATATTGTTACAAAAAAATGTAAAGGTGCCAACTTACTGGCAAGCCCCTCCTTCCAGGAGGTCCAGGATTCCCCTGAAATCCCTTAGGTCCCTAGGATTAAAGTGAAAACGAGATATTTAATAACTAATCTTAATTTATGTTAATGTGAATATAAAATTATTGGTTACACTTTATTTCGATAGTCCACTTTAGACATTCTATTAACTATAAGTAACTTTGTAACTACATGTCAACTACATGTCAACTAATTCTCATTAATTTGCAACTACATGTCTACTAACTCTCAGAGTAGACAGGGTAGGTTTAGGGTTAGTAGAATAAGTTGACAAAGAAAGTGTTAGAAGATATTAAGCAGACAGTCTACTAATACTCTACTAACTGCTAGTTGACATGTAGTTGCAAAGTTACTTACTGTTAATAGAATGTCTAAAGTGGACTATCGAAATAAAGTGTTACCAAATTATTTTATGTATTTTTATTTTGATTGATCTGCAACATTTCCTTTTAACCTGACTAAAGAAAGCTTTGAAAATAAAATTTCATACCTTGTCTCCAAACAAGCCCTGCAGGGTGGAAGAGATACAAGAGAAATAAATTATAAATGATTTTCATGCTCTTTCCAAAAAAAAAAAACAGGCTGTGGTTGCGATAAGGCACTCCACTGTCCTTGCTTTTGTCATTAAAAATGAATTAACAATGGTTTCATATCTTGAAAGGACAGAGCACATGTAAATGCATCTGCAGCAGATGTGTTAATGCAAATTGGGCTACGGTGTAATAGGTACAGCTTGCTATTAGTTTAAATGCTGAAACCTTAAAAAAAGACATATTCACCGGTAGTCCAGGAATTCCAGGTGCCCCTCTAGGCCCAGCAGGACCAATATTTCCCTTAAGGAAAAGTACACACATTTTATATTTAATGATTCATAAGATGATTTTAACCAGAGCAAGTGAAGGAAAAGAAGATTAATCATAAAGATTCATCAATATTGACAGTGCTGCAATATATATATATATGTACAATATATATAAAACAGTCAATATAAAACAGAAAAAGAATGATTTTTCATATTTGTTTATTATTATTATTATTATTATTATTATTATTATAAGCATCGTCTTACAATATCTATGGTGAAGGCAATAAGCAAAAGAATATCTGTTCAATGAGATATTTTGACCTTACCTGATCCCCCTTTGGTCCTGGGGGTCCAGGAGGACCAAGAGGCCCCATACTCCCCTAAAAAGAACAAATAAATACTCTAAGAGAACTGAATAGGCTACACTGCAGACTCATAGGATGTGCTTGATATACATTATACCTTCAAGTCATCTTTCCCTGGTGGACCAAGTGGTCCCTGATCTCCTTTCTCACCCTGTTATGGACAAGTTAAGGTATCAATATTAATAATGTATTTCTAAGGTATCTGCATAAAAGGAATCCTGTCTGAGTAAAACTTTAAAAGCACCTCTGCTCCTTTGACACCTTGCTCCCCAGGCTCTCCTCTCAGCCCTTGGATTCCCTGTCAAGCATAGAACAAAGGTTTAATCAATGCATGATTGTGATTTCGAACTGTGTTAATAGTTTCCCATTTTATTAAAGGGGTCATATGATGCGATTTAAATTTTTCCTTTCTCTTTGGAGTGTTACAAGCTCTTGGTGCATAAAGAAGATCTGTAAAGTTGCAAAGACTAAAGTCTCAAATCCAAAGAGATATTCTTTATAAAAGTTAAGAGTCAACCACGCCTACCTAAAAAGGCTCATTCTAACACCTCCCCACATGTCGATGTGGGAAGATTTGCATAATGCCGCCCAAATGTTAACGCAAAGAAAGAAGAAGGCGTAACTTTTATTCCTGTAATATTGAAAAGTGAAAAGTGAAAAAGTGAAAAGTGACGTGACATGTGGCCAAGTATGGTGACCCATACTC